ATTCAGAAAGACTTTATCGTGCGTAATCGTAAAATGTATTTGGACAAGAGTCAACACAGTTAAACCATGTTGAACTGCTTGCATCAAAAATTTACTTATTTAAATGAGAACGCTGAAGATGAATCCGAAATTGGGACCGAGCTGCTCGAGCATCAATTATGTAGACTCGTTAAGATGCATTTATCTCGAATACCGTCTACATTAAATTTGCACAGCTCTAATCAGGCGGCGTGACAAGCGTCACGATACGTCTCATAACCTTCAAAAAATTTTGGATTTGGAAAAACTTTGTGATATACAATCATAAAATGGATTTGAACAAGAGTCCATACAGCTAAATCACGTTGAACTACTTGCATCCAAAATTATTTACTTAATTGACCACGCTGAAGATAATGGAAAAGTATGGAATCGGTCATCAGTTGACCGAAGTCATATGTAAGAATGATCTAACCCACGTGGAATACATTTCAAGAGAAATAAAGATGGAAATTTGATTAAAAAGTATAGAACATTCTCTCTGTGGCTCTTCACGATCATTGAAGAAATCAAGCATGGTCAATTTCCTTCTCTTTAAGAGTACTTATTGACAGATGCAACCCTTAAAAAATGGGTAAAAAAGACGTAAGAACTAAGTAAGAAATGGCGCATCTAGTAGAAAATAAAAACTGTTTTAGACGCCCATAAAATTTGAAGCTTTTTTGCTTTATATAGAAAAAGCAGACATTGATAACAAAACTCAAAAGTCATTACATTTCGTGGGTTGGATCATTTCTGCATAATTATGATCAATTGTTTAAACTCGGCGAAATTCATTTGTCTCGGGTACGGTCTACAATAAAATGTTATACACCTCTAATTATGATAGTGGTTTTACTTATTTGCCTAAATTTACTTACGATCGTCAAGAAACAGTACGTTTTGGTGAGCTGAATATAGTATTTTTTCTCCTTTTCGCTCATCTCTTTGGGCTATCAATATACACTTACAAATTATCCGGTGTATCAAATGATCGCGCTGCGCGCGCAGCATTCTGCTCCTTTGTTCGATCATACGAGCAAATTTTCGTAACCAGATGTAGGTCGAATGGGATCGATCTTGCCTCCGGACGAAGGGCTAATATTCACAGCCGCGGCTGTATTGTTCGCGATAGTTGTAATGAAAAATCGCAATTTTCGCCGATACAATCGCGCTCTCTCCTGGTACTTGAACGCAGCGTTAGAAATGAATGGTCAGGCGGAAACTAGAAAAAAAGAAACGAACAAACGTGCCCTAGCAACGCGTTTTTATCATGCATCGTTCCGCCCAAGCGCACGTACTCGTGCACCGTGATACGTGTTTCACTGCGAGCAGCGATCGGTGGATTAATCCTCTCGTTGGGGCAAAATAATTGACCGCAGACTGCCCATCGCGTTCACGCGCGCGTAAGTTTGTCGTCCAAAGGTCGAGCCACGGCGTTACTTCGCAAGCCTGCTCTCGCTGTGTTGAGACTCGCTGCATGAATATGAGAAGCGAGCATAAAATTCGATAAAAACGTTGCCGTTAATACATGCGAAGCTTTGCGAGCGAAAGCAGTATCGAGTGAAGTGCTTAATGGATCTCCGGCGTGAAAGAACTGGGCTGGAGAGAAAGGGGGAGAGAAAAAGAGAGAAAAAGAGAGAGAGGGAGAAGGAGAGGAAGAGAGAGAGAAATCTGTTCTCTGTGTATCTTTCCGCTTTTCTCCTTCTCTCTCTCTATCTCTCTTTCTCTGTCTACATGTTCTCTCTTCTCGAAGATATCTTGAGGGAGTGAACATCATCGACGTCGTAGTCGTGGGGAGCGATAATGTCTGTGCTAGCGACTAACGCGGAAATGCACCTATCTGCCGTAGTGCTGTACAGATGTGTTGCTCCCACAACTAGGGCGGAACAAGATAATGTACGAAGTGTTAATTTGGATGTTCGCGAGAGGATGGATCGCTTCTCGTGGCTTCCAGTGGCGCGTTCGATTGAGTCGGAGTGATAATAAATTCGATTCGAGCGACGTCGACGATTTCTGGTTGCGCCAAATGATTTCGTGGCAGAGCGCGCAAAACAGAGAGAGAGAGAGAGAGAACGACTTCCAATTCAATCGTCGAGGGTCTCGCAGGCGACTCGTCGATCGAAAATTTATACACACATACACACACACATATAATCGTGCTTATTGCACTTTAACCGAGTTGAGCGACAATCGTTAATCGAGTTTTCCACCACAACATAATCTGTCCGTCCGAGGATGAATGATCATTAACGTCAAACAGATCGATTACGTCATTATGCGGCACTTTGGCTAACCTGCTTTCCGTGCGAAACGGCAAAAATGTGAGAGAAACAACTCGGTGCATCCGGAGAACGAAACTGAAGAAAAGGAAATATATATGTATACACACACACTTACACATATATATCCGCGCGAAAGCGATTTATGGCCCAAAGATATCCCCCGGCCTATACTAGCCACCGCCCGCTCATTCTGCCGCGTACTATTTGTTTCGTCATTTTACCGTATTTCATAGCGACCGGGCTCGACGGTGGTGAGCCGTTTGCGAGGCTGGCTGAGTTTTATGCAATTCCGGCGCGGTATCGCTTTTACGCGGCGACACAAATTTACTTAAAATTCGGGACAGAGCCCGCATTAAGTGCGGCCAAACCGCATTGTGGCCGGACCGCACAAGCAGCAGGAATGACAACGTTTCGTCGCCGTCACGTATTGCGGTCGGAAAGCATTAACAAAGAGTGACACGGAACGTTCTCGCCGGTGTGTTGAAAAGTATCGGCGAGATATAACAGCCGGTTAAAACGAGCTTCCGCGCGTTTCATCTCGTTTCTCTCTCCCTCCCTGTCATTCTTACCGAAAGAGACGGCGGGCTTTGTGTTGTCTTTTCCATAACTCGATTAATCGGAATTATTTAAAGTTATGCGGGGGAGCATCTTTTTTTTTTTCCTAAACCGTGCGCCGCGCGTTGGTGCACGCGCCGTTTCCGCCATGAAGTCTCTTTGCATACGATAAAATTCGTACTTTCTTGTACGCGCTTTTCTCTTCGCCTTTGTGCATTAACTTACAGAGACTCTCTCCATATTAGCAACGCCTACTTTGCGTAACTTATGAATAGTTCCGAGATAGCGTAAGCAGTTAGCTCCAACTTGTATTCTTCACTCATCGGTGTTGGTTAAGGATGGTACCTTGTTACGAACGATATATATATATATATATATATATATATATATATATATATAGAGAGAGAGAGAGAGAGAGAGAGAGAGAGAGAGATTCTTACAACGAGACTCCCGCCTTGAGGTATATAATTTCAAATTCAGTTAGCATTTGACAGTCGCAAATTTAGTTAGGACTGCTCGAGTTGTACGAGTTATAAATTTTCCCCGCAGAAATATATTTCGCTTCATTACGCCGTTTTACACTCGTAAACGAGTGTCCCCTTCTTCCCTACCTCTCTTTTTTCTTTTTCTCTCTCTCTCTCTCTCTCTCTCTACACATTTCTATCTCCCTCAGTGATTCGCACGCTGAGAGCCAAATCACGCGGAAATGCGTATCGAGGGAACGCTTGATATTTTAAATCACGCACACATGTAAAACGTACGTCCAGGAGAGAATTTGCACGCGCCGAAAACAGACGCGTATATCGAACGGTTAAATTGCGAGCTGAAATAATTATTCGCGAGTGCAATGTGTAGAACACGCCATTTAACCGGAGCATCGCGTCCATCTTAAATATTATAAATTCAACATTTCCCTGATGTTTCCTAGCGGATATTATTAGACGGGCTTTCATCGATCGCGTCAGATATTTTCATCAAATCTCCCGCTGAAACGTCGTCGCGTGTTCAACGGGCCGCACGTGTGAGAATGAACGTGTGGACCTTCCGGATCGCAATCACCATTAACGGGCATTTCTCCGGATATACGACGCGCATTAATTGATTAGACTATCCATCTAATAGACGTACGACGTGTAATGCGGAACCGTCGCATTAATTCTCATTACTTTTCCCGCCGGTTCGTGCTAGCAGTGTCAATTTCGGGGTCACTCACGAGTTATTTGTCCTCATTATTTTTCCTTATATTTATTCAGATCATTCTGTGCATACGAGCATTGCGGTGAAGTTTCACAAAAAGCAGATGCTTTAAATATTTAGTTTTTATATCGGAATATGTGTGCCAAAATAAAATATGAAATATCCGCCAAAGTACCCGGTACTTTCGTTGACCTCGCTACTTTTTTTATGCATAAATTCACGAAGGGAATATGGTTTGCAATGGTGGACATTTTGTATTTCTGCCGAAATCGATCCGTGCAGAAAATTTTTGCATACCCGTGTGATAATTCAAAATACCATCGTCATGTTATTTCGACTATCCCGTGTTCGTAGTTTCTAAGCATCGAAATAACATTACACTCGTGTATTCGTGCCTCCTCGGTGGCGTATATTTCACGTGCAAAGTGTGCAGAAAAGTTGCGTTGTTTGTCAACGTATTCGTCTCGCGTCGACAATCAACACAAGAATTGGCGCCGATTAAATTGGGACGTGCATGAGAGAGATGTGTCGGATTTAACGCCAAACTTTTTGCGGTGTGTATAAGGAAAAAACGTGACTCCTAAATTCTATTATTCCGAGAGAGCTTGCGGAATATAGAAATATTTTCGGTTGCTCTGACAGCACTTACACAGTCCCGTTCACACATGCAACACGCGTTCGCCCGATATGCGTCCGCTGCCCGGCGCACATCCCCCGAACACTGCATTTACAACGACCTTGCGTTACCCACCGCTCTCCCTCTCCCCCTCCCCCTCCGTTGCCCGATTTGCACCATCTAATTTCGCTCACGTGTGAAGTAGCGTCACGTGTGTGAAGTAGCTTATTCCGAGTGAGACGATCCGTGCGCGCGCGCGCGCCTATCGAGCGCGCAATATCCTAAATGGGGCGATATCATCATCCGACCGTTCTTTCTTTATGTTACAGCGACTGCAACGAGATTGAGGCACTCGAGACACCTGGACTCGAGATCGCAGTTCCCGGACGAGGAGGAATTACCGGTGAGTGCTTCTCGATTCGTTCTTGATTCGATTTCTCATCCTCCATCCCCCATCACCGCGCCGTCCCACTTACGCTTCCTTCCTTCTGTCTCAGGCATCAAGCCCGATTCCTTTTACCACCCCTGGTCTACGAGGATCCCAGGATGATCCTCGTATAAACCACCTTTCCAGCACTTGGATGATGGATTTGTTCCTCCGTCTCTCTTCCTCTCTCTCTCGCTTCCTTCCTTTCTTCCTTCCTTCGCCGATCTGCGTGAGCAGTTAAATATTTACCGTGCCCGTCAGCAGCCGGTGTCTACGTGACATCCGCGAGCGGGCCTGAATTTGCCGTCGCTCGTTATGAGGAAGGGGGGGGGGTGGACTTGCGACGAGAACCGAAAATATCGTCGCGTACTCCTTCCCTTCACCTTCACCACGTTCCCGCAACCTTTCTAATCGAATCCTCAAACGATTGAATCGACCGCGCGACGTTAGCTGTGTATGTCCGCGCTCTTCTGCTAACTACAACCCTCTCCGGCGTTTATCTCCACGTTATACTTCCGCGAGAAAAACGCTGGCAATATGAAATAAACTTTCCCTATCGCAGCCTCCTCTCCTCTTTTCTCCCGTCTCTCTTCCCTCTTCTTTCCGCTGGCAGCCCCACAATGTCTGTACAACGAAACATGACATTAATCTTACTTCCGCTTAGCGAGCGAGCACTTCGCACGGTGTATGTGTGTCGCATTTCAAGGTAATTTCGCGTCGAGAGTTGACCGCGAATATAAGCAACTTCCAGCGGTCTCCACGCGCATATTTTTCGCCGCATTCCTTTTATTCCCCCCTGCGTCACATGTTAAAACATGCGGCGACGGTGGTAACGAAAGCACCTCACGAGACCGAGTAACGTCGAGGAGCGACGTGTTCACGGCGCGCTCGCGCGGCCACCATCGTGCATAAATAATCCGTCTCGTAGACGAGCGAAATCACTCGTGATTCGATGAATAGGTCGTGCGCCGTGCGACAAGCCGCGCCGTACGTTCTCAACGGCGGGACACTTCACGGCGAGAAGTGCTTCGTCGGCAGCCCCTGAGACTCGCTTACGAATCGCTCGTAAATCGTTGACGTTACGCCGAAGTTCGCTCGCGGCGGAGCGTGGGATATTTAGGAACGCGAATTGCACACGGCGGGGGTGGCGACGGGACCTTGTGCGCATATATGTATACGTATGTATACAGGGTGTCCAGTAATTCGCATCAGAGCCGCGGTGTGCAAATGGATTAGATCAAAATATGAGCAAAAAGTTTCTCGACCATTTTGCGAAGAAACACAGATTAGGTAAAACTGAACAAAAAAGTTCTCTATCATTTTGCAAATAACCATGTGGGTTTTTAATTAAAGGACATCGGTATGTTATCGGACGCGATTATCCACCAATCTTCTTTACTGAATAATTCAAAACTCCACGTCCCTTTGCAAAATAGCAGACAATTTTTGTTCAGTTTGATTTGATCTATAAACGACAGCAGGCGTCGCTATCACTACCCTCATCTACTGTCGCGCATAATCGTTCTCCAATCTTCTTTAATTAAATTACTCAAAATAATTAAATTACTCAAAATAATTAAATTACTCAAAACAATTAAATTACTCAAAACGTGGTTTTTCGAGAGATGGTAGAGGAATTTTTTGTTCATTTTGATCCAATCTATCTGTACACACTGCGGCTTCGAGTTACCCTTCGAGAAACACCCTGTATAGAGAGAGGGAGAAGCGATTCCATATGCCATTCCGACATTCGTCAGGCGCGACACTTCGGCAAGTGGCGTTCAAACGAGACTTCGAGTTGCCGTTTTGTCAAGACCTATAATCGAATAGCGATGTTATTTGGGACTTAACCACTCGCACGCGAGTTTCTTCTCCCCCCTAGACGAATGCGGAATGCAAGTTTCGCGCAGCAGCAACAGTAGCAGTCGAAACGTAATTCGTGATTTCGCGCGATGCATCGCTCGTATTCTGTCGATGTTTCAGCGATTAATCCCACCGACTTTTACAGCTGTGATGATCTGTCGGCGAATAAAATACTTTTCAATTAATTGAATGTTATCACCACGTTGTATCAACCGTCGCTCCGGAGCGGCGGACGGCCCTGTCGCGCCGCGCGAATTTTTCACGAGGGATTTGTGCGTTGAAAGTGGCATAATCGGCGGCGGGAATATGCAAATATACGATCGCGCGTAATTTATCCGCGCTGATAGCGCAATGTCAGTCCGCGCGCGGCAGAGCCGCGCGCGCATACAAATGAAATTTGCGCCATAAATTTATTTCGTCGAGTTAAGCGCGTGATAAAATTTACTTTAGTCGCGTTACCGAACGCGCATCGTTATTTATTTACGGGCCGTCAATTGGCTCCGTTGACCCTTTAATTTTCAATATAAAATACTTCGCTAACTCACTGCCGTTGTAATTCTTTCCGCGGGGCGGGGAAAATAAAATCAAACGCGAGGTACTTGAAAAATAATGAGGCCTCGCTGGCGAGTGTACACTCTGCTCTCGCGATCGTATAATGAAACGCAGCTCCTTTATAAACGTTGCATTAATGGAGTAACGTTTAATGCTCGGCGCCTTTAAGGAGGCTTCGAATTTCATCGCTCTCTCGTCGCTTCTTGAGAAACCGTGAATTAGCGGACGATGGTAGGTAGCGCGATGAGGCTCGTTAGTCTCTCTCTCTCTCTACTCTCTTTCTCTCTTGTTCTTCCTTGCGCGTATTAATTGTTCCGCAAAGAAGACGTCGCTGGACGGTTCCGAGTTACGAGAGCTTTTTCGCTTTTAATATTAATTAACGGTCTTGTAGTCGCTCTTAATGTGTGTGCACTCTCGTCGTACCTCAAAACTCATAGGCACGAAGAGCGAGCGCTCTTAAAGAGCGACCTCGCGTTTGTGTGCGCTCGGATACCACGTGTAAAGATGTCGGTCCTTTCGCACGATTTACGACACCGTTCGCGAATTCGCCCAGGCTACCATGCAACCAATGTATGTATACCGTCTACATTAAACAGGACTCCCGCGATAATTAATGCATTCGTCTTGTTATTCTTCTCACCGGAGGTGATTTTCTCTCAATGGCTTAGCGACGCGGAACTTGCGATAACTCGCTCTCTGATCCTTTCTGTAGTGTTTTCTCTTCTCTCTTTCCTTCCCGCCTCTCTCTTTCTCTCTTTCTCTCGTTACCGCGATTGCGACGATAGCAATTACGAATTCCAATTGACGCGGCCTTCTTAAAGCCAGCACGAATCAACTGCGGATAGCATAACGGGGTTAATATGCTAAAACGCGGTTAACTTGTTTATCGTTAATGAGGCTGGAAAGTACGGGCGCGGCGCACCGCGCCGCGAGTGCTATATCGTGGTAGCGCATGACCCGGCAAAGTGCTGCGCGAAATTCTAAACGGTCTGAGGATTCACGCTGGATGGCCGGGGCAGTGTGTTCTCGTCCACGTGCGAGAGCAAACAGCGCGAACGAGCGAGCGAGCAAGCGAGTGAGCACACGCGGATTACATTTCTTACCGAGTGTTGTTTACCCGGGGATATCGTTATTCCCCCGTGGGACTGAAAATAGTAATGAATATTAATGTCGCGACCATTTAATTATATCGCAGATAACGGTCTAACTATGAGAGCGCGTCTGGGGAGTCGCGGGTAGACTCGGCGTTATCCGTATGTTAATTATAATTATTCGAATTGATCCGCCCTCGTGGAGTTTTCTCCGCGGACGCGGACGTGTTGGATCTACAACTCCTTCGTCTTCTCGTCCTGCGGATCGAATTCTCGCGCAGAAAGCTAAGACCCGTATTGATGGTCGTTACTTGAAACTTTTCCCGAATGAGATACTCAGGTTTGAATTCAGAATTAGACGAGCCATTTTTAGGTGAATCGCGTGATTACAAATGCAAATGTCACATATACCATGATTCACCCGAGAATCTTGGATTTAACTCTGAAACCTTAATAATTGTTACTTGAAACTTGTTTTAAATTTAAATATTCAGTTCTGAATTTTGAGTTATATTTGAGTTTTTTATTTGAATCATGTAATATATGCGACATTACATTTGTAATCACGATTCAGCTGAGAAACTCTCTCTGGCTTTAAGTTCAAATACTTTACTCGAGAGACAAGTTTTGATTAGCGACTATTAATGCCAGTTTAAAGTCCGTATTAATAGTTGTCATCTGAAACTTGTCTTATGTAAGATACTCATATTTTTATTCAGAGTTCGATTCAAGTTTTTCCAGTTGAATTATGATATACACGTGACATTATATTCATACAATCGCGCAATTTAATAGAGAAACTCTCATCTAACTCTGAATTTAAATCCGAGTATTTTACTCGAGACAAGTGTCAAGTAACGAATATTAATGTTGGTTTAAAACCCGTGTTAATAGTCATCTTAAACTTATGAGATATTCAGATTTTTATTTAGAGTTAGATTCAAGTTTTTCTTTTTCCGGTTGAATTCATATCTGCAATCGTGCGATTCAACTAAGAAACTCTCATCTAACTCTGAATTCAAATCTGAGTATCTCACTTGAGACAAATTTCAAAAGTAATAACTATTGATACGGGCCGTAATTTCATGCGCGCGTTAGTCGTCGTAGTTTTCGCCGTTGTCGTCGTAGTAATGCGAATATCCCGCGGTTACCCCTTTACGCGAGTACGAAAGTTAAAGGCGACTTGATCGCGCTCGTATGTTCTATGTATTATGTGCTAAACGCCATCCGGATCGATGCTAATCGCGACGAAACGGTAACACACGGAACGTACGAGCGCGGTTGGTGCCATTATTTATGAGAGTATGGCTCTCACCAAGACGCAACAGACCGCGTAACGTTGTGCAAAGCTGCGGGACTTGGCTAACCTTGCCACATGTTCTAGATCAGCAATGTGCAGGATTATTACAGCGAGCGCCCGTAATAGTACGGCACCTCCCTTTTTTCCACGCTCTCTCTCTTTCTCTCTCTCTCTTCTCTTTTCTTCTCCTCCTCCTTTGTATCCCCGTCCACTCTTCTCCCACGAGTCGTTGGATCTTTTATGAGGAAACGCGACGTAATAGACCGCCAGAGTCCAGAGCCGTGATTAATGGCGCTTGGTTTATGAGAGGCGCTTTGATTTATCGAGCGTCTTGCTCTAAACTCTTCCCTACGCTCGCTCGCGCGCGAGCGGGGTGCCAAGTTTACCGATTAATCCCCAAGACATCTTTCGCTCGCTCTCCTCTACCCCCGAGCCGAGTAACATTCTCGCTAATAGTCGTCCGTTTCTCTTACGCTTTCAGCTCAATGAGAATCACAACCACAAGCCGGTGTTTACCGATTGTGCGAATTACACGCCGTTGCTGCAGGAGGAGGTGAACCGCGACACCTATGTATTTCAGGTGCACGCCGAGGACACGGATCCGCCGGAAAACGGAGGTATCGTATCACTAACCAGAAATTCCGCGCTCCAAGTCCACTTAACCTCTTAGCTACGGCAGGACTTTCCGCGGAGCTGTATCTCTGTACGGCAAAGTTCAACGCGGACTGCGCGAAAACAATGTAACCCTGCGATTTGTGTCTGGTAATGCTTTTCACTACGCAAGTACATTAGAATACAGTTTTAGATGAATAAATTATAATTCATTAGAAATAACAATGAGCCACTATAGTGGCGTACCGTTCAGAAAGATAATATACGCGAAAGCCACTATAGTGGCGTATAGTACTTAAGAGGTTAAACTGTTGTAAGTTCTGATGAAACCGGAAATCTATTAACTGGAACAGAATCTTGGTAACTTCAACCGGACTTTTCAGACTTTACATACCGGCTCGTTCATACTTCACCAGACACTCGGTTAATCCACAAGCAAATTTTCTTTCCCTTGAATAAATCATTTGTGAAACGTCCTTGCGAAGCATGCGTGTAACAAAGGAGAAGAAGTCAGTGATATCGCACGAGGTGCGAATTGCAGTCTCTTTACGACCCTCGAGATATCACGACGTCGCATTCGCCGTCGGGATGAATGAGAGGAGCGAAGCGCGCACACGATTGCGCGACGGAACTTATTTTTAATTAGACAATTCCATTGTCCCTGTTACATTTTCGAAGAGTTGCTCCGAGAGTAGAACGGGAATAACGAGATCGATAACGAAATTGGAAACAGATGAGGAGATGATGATTGGAGGTCAAAAATAAATATCAAACGAGAATATCCTACTTGTTACATTATTAGCTGATGAGAGACACAAACGTGGACTCTCTATTTTCGCGCGCACGCTGTAAATCGCGATAAAGAGCGAAGCAGCGAGGACCCAATGACGGCGATGTGGGTCGTTAATCCGTGTCGTCTACTTGATCGCCCCTTTTCTGGCTTGCTGCAGGTACCGTCACGTACAAATTCGTGTCCGCGCCCCATGAGAAGCTGAAATTCGAGATCAATAATATAACTGGCGTAATCACGACGAGCATGTACATGGACAGGGATGAGCCCTTCAGAGAGAGGGAGTTCTATCTCACGGTGCTCGCCACCGACAACGGCAGGCCGCAGCTGGACGACGTGTGCACACTTAAGGTTACCATCACAGACATCAACGACAATGAGCCCGTCTTCGACAAAGTGGTACGTAATTCACCTGAACTAAGCTCTGACTTGTCAACTTGTTAATAAGTGTACGGATCGATCGGGGTCCCGGCTGCGGGTCGTCGCATCTACAAAAGGAGCCGAGTGCGCGCGTACCGACACGCGGCCTGCATAATGCATACGTGGCAATTACGCGGGCATTAGAGTCGTAATCGATCTGTACGATCTAAAGAATAAAAAGGGAGGCGAAAGTTAAACGGATCAGCACAGTTTCTTTTTCTTTCTTTCTTCTTTTTTTCGTCTCTCTGTTTTCTTACGGCTTTGTCAGAGGAAAAAGCGGAGGGAGAGAGAGAGAGAGAGAGAGAGAGAGATGTCTCTCCTCTGTAATTCCACTGAATTAAAGAAAAAATGGAGACTAATTAAAGCGAGGATAATTCCGAAGGAGACAAACGATTCGTGCGCTGTCTATGAAAAGCCGCGCACGCACGCACGCGCGCGCGCAATGGAATATTCTTTGAAAATCCTACGCGTTTGCGGAAACGAATAGAGCCAATTTGAAGCTGGAGAGCGCGCCGACACGTGCTCCGTTCCGTTCTGCATATTTTGCGTGCGTAATCGATTTCATGAATGAGTAAACCTCGCGAGTCGTGGAATTACGGCGGCACCCCGTACGTTTGTACCACATGAGCTCCTTTTTTTCTTTTTTAATAGACTAACATACCGGCGTTACCGCCACTCGACCCTATCCATTACCGCTACTAACAAGTACTGCTTCAATCTCTCTCTTTTTTTGTTTCACTCCAATCCCAGGTCTTCCGTGGACACACGTGGAAGGTTGGTCTTGTGTTTGCGGTGTGTGTATGTTGCTCGATGTAAATGAGACGAGTGTCTCACATTCCTTTATCGTCGTCTCTTTTTTTTTCCATTTCCCCTTTTACGAGCAGTTTGCGTGTATCTCGCGAAATGAACTGCTATTTGATTTCCACATGCCGAGCGAGATTTCTTGTATGCGCTTGAAAAGATACCTACGTATTTCACCGCGCGACTCTCTGCAAGCCGACTGGAAAAATCCGCACGTCCACAACACACTGATAAGAAAAACTTTTCGATCGATAATAACCGCGACGAGAGATGATCGTCCCGCTCGTCGTTCTAGAACGATGACGAGCCCTCACATTTCCTATTCCCCTTCCTTCGTGTTGAACAGCGAAGTTATCATGCATGTACGTAATATATTAGGAATGACAAGGCACTGTGAGCACGATTCATTCGGAAATTGCATGGAACGTATCACGCTAAGTGCATTTTGAAAATCACACGGCGGCAGGCCGGCAATTGCCCTCCCCCCACACCCTTCTGTTTAATGCATCCTCCCATTGTTACACATACAGGCGTACACGGAATCCGTGCCGCAAGACTTGCCCGTCGATCGCGAAGTCATGAGAGTCTCCGCCACCGACCTCGATGACGGTGAAAATGCCACTGTGCGTTACAATCTGTCGTCTAAGACGAAGCTGGGTGATGAGGAATATTTCCGGATCGACAGCGAGACCGGCATCATATTTCTCAAGAAAGCTATAGACGTAAGTAACGCGCAAGGCGCGACATTAAAAGAGCTCTACTTAACTCGCGTTCTTCTTTGCCTCGTTTTATGGTGTTTCCCCCGGTGAAACTAGAGCTTGCGACGCTTTCCCGATAGTTGAAGCGGCGATAGTCACTTTTCTTTGTCGTTGCATATACTTGAGTTACTGTGTCATTCATCGACGAGCCACATCGTTTAAACATGTACGCGCATACACGGGGTGTCCAGTTACTCACGGAGGAGCTGCAGTGTTACAGATAGATTAGGTCAAATTGAACAAACAATTTCTCCGCCATTTTGCGCACAATCATGTAAAATTTTGAGCTATTAATTAAGAAGATTCGTGAATGACCACGCGTAGCATACGGTAGATGAGCTATGATGGCGATGTCTGCCGCTGTATGCTTGTATATTAGGTCAAACTAAATAAAAGAGTCCTCTACCATTTTCCAAATGACTACGTAAATTTTTAGTTATTAATCAAAGAAGATTGGTGTATTACCTTGCATAATTGTACACCAATTTTCTTTGAATAATAATTAAACATTCATATTTACATTTATTTGGTGATTTGGAAAATAGTAGAAGACTTTTTGGTTCAGTTTAACCTAATATACAAGCATACAGTGACGTCACCATCGCTCTCATCTGACACGTGATCATTCACAAATCTTATTAAAGAAGATCCAAATGACCAAATAAATGTGAACGTTTAGTTATTAATGAAAGAAAATTGGTATACAGTTGTGCAAGATAATGCACCAATCTTCTTTGATTAATAATTAAATATTTACGTGATTGTTTGGAAAATGATAGAGGACTTTTTTGTTCAGTTTAACTTAATATACAAGCCTACAGCGACGTCACCATCGTAGTTTTCATCTGACACGTAATCATTCACAAATTTTCTTTAATAACTTAGAATTTGACGTGGTTTTTCGCAAAATGATAGAGAAATTTTTTATTTAGTTTGACTTAATCTATAAATACCGCGGCTTTTCTGTAAGACATCCTGTATATGCGCAGGAATATATATTACGCAGATGTTATCCGTATCGGAAGACAAACTTGTTAATTTATTTCTAAGGTACACAAGTAAAATAGCACCGCCTAAGTTAAGATATATACGCGAAGCTCAACATGAATCGATCCATTTCTTCGAGCGAGCTCAAGTTTCTTCCGAGTTCACTTAACGGAATATATAAATTACTCACGATGCCAATTTTTGCGCAGCGCGATCCAGGTTATAAATTCACTATGGTAGCCACAGCGATGGACCTCGGCAAGCCTCCAATGGCCAACCAAATTGATCTTGACATACGGGTGGTGGAGTCGCACAAAAAGGCACCAGCTTTTCTACCTAGGCCAACAGCACCGATTAAGCTGTTGGAGAATTTTAGCGACTTCGACGCCAGCATTGTCCGTCTTAAAGCGGTCTCTAACGTCAATGATTCGAGCAAATCGGAGAATTCGTACCTGCTCTTCGAACTGGTCACCGGCAGGACCGAGCAGACTAACAAGGACAACACCTTTAGGTATCTATTGATTCGCTGCTTTTCCTCACTTCATGCAAATCTAGAGCGAGAAATTTCGACGACCGTAAGCGATATATAAATACATACTTAAATGTGTTTTACTTTTTAGATTGGAATCGAATAAGGACGTGGCGGATATCAAGCTCTCTCAGAGTCTCGATTACGAAAGAAACACGCAATATTCGTTGATAGTACGGGTGCAAAATAAGAATGAATTGGCTGCGGAAACGGTGATTGATATTGAAGTTCTCGACGTTAATGACAATATTCCAGCCTTCCGTGATATTACGAAGGGAAGCGTGCTGGAAAACGAGCCGCAAGGAGTATCTGTCATTCGAGTGCAAGCTACAGACGCCGATGGGACCAGCGCTAACAATCAGGTATTAGAATTTTTCTTTGCGTGACATACGCTTATCAGCGCAAAGAGACGACCTTTCTTTCATATTCTTTGTGGTGCGCACTTGATTGTGCACAAGACATATGGGGATTTACAGTTTAACGTTGATTCCGAATGGCAGTTGATGTTGATTTTTATGGCAGTTTATTGATTTTTGAGAGATTTTCCTGAGTAAAGTTACTTTCGGTGGTTTGCCGTTGCCTTCCGAGAAGAGACGCGAGCGTATAAAAATTTTTCGGTTTTGCCAGAAATCGAACCCGGAACTTCAACGCCTCAGCCTATATGTGGAGCGTGGTAAACCAGTGTGCTGTCTATGCTACGCTCGATCTCTTTCTCTTAGAATTTATACAAGTGATATTTCTTCGATCTGTATGAAGCATCTTCTCTTGCGCGTCGTTGTTAATCATACTGTATCTCTCGGTTTTCTTATTTCTTGAAAAGGTCCATTACGACTTGGACAACTTCAAGGATCTGTTCACCATCGATAGTCAAACTGGTGTCATCACTACGCTAGTGACGTTTGATAGAGAAGTCGAGGACGCTTACAACGTTAAAGTATTAGCGATGGATAATTCGCCGAGTGCTCTGTTCAAAACCGGCTTACCCAATAAAGGGCAACAGGTGTTCCGAATAGAAATCGCCGATAAGAATGACAATCCACCTCGCTTCACCGAAAAGGTGTACACTCATAACGCGGTCCCGGAAGACACGAACATCAACACCTATGTAACCCATGTCGAGGCGATTGATTCCGACACAGCGAGTCCTGTCACATACAGCATTATAGCAGGAAATACTAACGATAGTTTTTCTATTGAAAGTTCAACGGGAAAAATTCGCGTAAATAAGACGTTGGATTACGAGCAGATCACCAAGTACAATCTGACCGTGAGAGCATTCGATGGCTTGTTCAACGATACAGCGCAAGTGGAGATTTTTGTCGAGAACGTAAACGACAATCCACCGATCTTCGAAGATTTTAACAGAAATCCGACGATAGAAGAAGAAAAATTGGTGCCTGGTAAGATGTCGATGTGATTATTTCAATAAATATAAGAAGATAAATGTTCTAAGCGAGTTTATAATTGCTGTCTGTTTAGGTTGTATTACTACCGTGGTAGCTTACGACCCTGACATCGAAGATAGAAATGCCGATCAGCATATCGCGTACTTCATCGTTAAGGAAACTCAGCAACCTCTCATCGAAATTGACAAAACTGGTTGTATGAAACTGAAGAAGCCACTAGATCGCGACCCGCCGAATGGCTATTCGATGTGGACTGTGAGTTTTCAATTGGATTTGTCACGCATTTTCCGAAATGATAATTTCCTCTCATTCTAACTTTTGATCGCTTACCGCACACAGGTCATCGTGATGGCGAGAGACGAAGACGGTTCGTCCACGGCGCTACGGGAATCGGTGGTCGTGAACATCACTCTCCTTGACATAAATGATAACGCACCATTCCTCGATATGCCTTACCCCGTCATTTGGATGGAGAATAAACCACCTGGCAAGATAACCGAGCTCAAAGCGCGCGATTACGATTCCAATGATAATGGTCCACCATTCGAGTTCCGGATCGACGACAGCGCGGACGATGAGATCAGATCCAAGTTCGACATTCACAAGTCCAATTTGTTCGCGCGAGTGATATTTGATCGAGAGCAGCGAAAGAGCTACGATATACCGATCGCGATTACGGACAGCGGTGTGCCATCGATGACAGGTACTTCGACGCTCACTGTGATCATAGGCGACGAAAATGACAATCCCATGCAGGAGGGTTCTAGTTCGATATTCGTTTACAACTACAAGGGAGAGGCCCCTGATACAGAGATTGGCCGCGTTTACGTCAACGACCCGGACGATTGGGATCTGCCAGATAAATCCTTCGACTGGGCCTCTCCTCACGAGGGCTTCGTGCTAAACAGCAGCACCGGCATGATCACTCTGTTATCAGGCACATCGAATGACACTTTCGTGCTGAAGTTCCTCGTAACCGAGAAAGGCCACTTCGGGCAATCGCATCAGGTACACGCGTACGTAAACGTCACCGTCAAGGAACTCCCAGAGGAGGCCGTGGAGAGATCCGGTTCAGTGCGATTTTACGGAATAAACGCGGAGCAGTTCGTCGAGCCCGATGAGTCCGGCGTCAGCAGGAAGGAGATATTCCAAGAAAAAGTAGCGGCCATGTTGAACGTCTCGGTTGAAAACGTAGACGTGTTTACCGTGCTTCATTCGCCTCACTATAACAACAGAAGTCTGCTCGACGTGCGTTTCTCGGCGCACGGCAGTCCGTATTACGCTCCCGAAAAACTGAACACTATCCTCGCGCAACACTCGAAGGAGATCGAACACGAGATGAGAGCTGATATCTTGCTAGTGAACATTGACGAGTGTTTGTTCGAGAAGATGCACTGCAACAATTCGTGCCGCAGTTATTTGAACGCCAGCACCGTGCCGTATTCTGTATATACCAATATCAGCTCGTTCGTTGGTGTCAGAGCGGTTATGGATCCGCAATGCACTTGCCATGTAGCGGAACCGATCGTCTGCCTGAACGGCGGCACGCCTTTGGCGGAACGATGCGAATGTCCACCTGGTCTGGAGGGACGGAGGTGCGAACTATTGAGTATCGGTTTCCACGGAGATGGTTGGGCCGTTATGCCACCACCTGGTCAAGCTTGTGAAGAGTCACATCTGGGTAAGGGTGTCGATAACACACATTTTCATCGTGTATTATGTCGCGTTTGTTTCTATCTCTCGTCTGCATATATAAATGACTGTTGCAGGACTGGAGATAACGCCGCACGTCGACAACAGTCTTGTATTTTACTTCGGCCCCATGATTTACAGTCCTAAACTTGGAGTTCAAGATTTCATGTCTTTGGAACTTCAGCACGGCTACGCTGTGTTGTACATTGACTACGGGACAGGAACAGCGCGGCTAGATCAGAAACAGATTAAGTTAACGGACGGCAAGAGTCACAGAATAGATGTTTTATGGACAAAAACGGTAAGAACTCTCACTCTAATTTCTTGCTTTGTGTTATTTTATGCGAAATTAAAGTGCAACAATTTTCACACACTTTTGTTTTTTTCTTTGTTTTAGTCGATAGAGTTAAAAGTGGACAATTGCGCTATATCTGCCTGCCTGAGTCTGACCGCACCGCAAGGAACTAACGAATTTCTCAATGTCAATGGGCCCATGCAAGTTGGCGGAACGTTGAGTAATTTAGCACACTTGGCGTCGAAATTAGGATGGAATCATACACCGACCGAGAAAGGATTTGTTGGTTGCATACGTAACATGTCAATTAATGGCAATGTAAGTAATAAAAAATTAGAGTAATAAGTCAAGTGAGTAATGAGAAGTATGTAGATAGTTAATAGAATAAAGAGATAGAATAATAAGAAAACAAATAATAGTACAGCGTAATATAAGTGTAAATTTAGTGAATAAATATATATTAAAATCACATAATCATTAAGTCATTTTTTTTGTTTGTTCCAGACGTACAACTTAGGTATGCCGTCGTTATCTAAAAATGCGGATCCTGGTTGCAATCACGGCATGGCAAAGGCTGTATCGTTCGGCATCGATACGAACTTTTTAGTAGCTATATTAGTCTGCGTAGCGATATTGTTAATACTGCTGTTGGCGGTAGTCGTGCAGAGAAGGAAGACAGACGATTTGTACAAGGACATGGACGACATTAGGGAAAATATTATTAATTACGAGGATGAAGGTGGCGGCGAAGTTGACACGGGATATGACTTAAACGTGCTGCGAGCTATTTATGACGCGCCGCCTATCGATTCTAAAATAGCTCCAGTTGGCCTACAGGGTAGAGGTGAGATAACGAGATACGAAGTGAGAAGACTAGTTTTATGTATTGATTATGTGTGCAACATCTAAAGGAGCAACTCTGTTTAAAGGAACCGACGAAGTTCCTGACATATGTGGTTTCTTAGATGGCAAGAAGGAAAGCTGCGATAAGGACCCTGATACGAATCCATTTGATGACGTGAGACATTACGCTTATGAGGGAGAAGGCAACTCGGAAGGCGACTTATCGTCGTTAGCTTCATGTTAGTATTTTCACATATTGGAAGAGATATATCAAATTATATTACGTATTTGTGCGTCTTAATTAACCTTCTCGTATTTTCCATTACAGGTACTGATGATGGAGATCTCAAGTTTAATTATCTGTCTAATTTTGGACCAAGATTCAGGAAATTGGCAGATATGTATGGAGAAGAACCCAGTGATGAAGATAGTGACGGTGTCGGTGAACGAGAGAGCGAAAGCTGGTGTTGAGTTTTCTTCTCTGAAAACTTCGTAGATATAAAATTTTTAACGAAGGTAAGGCATTAATTTGCTTAATCTCCATATGGTACGATTCTGTAGATTGTATGATACACGATTATTAGTACGACTTTATTGTTCCGTTTCCAGATGCACACAGCTCGCAAGTTTCGCTCCAGCTCGTGTGATCAATGTAATTATAAGTACGAGCATACGTGCCGCAGACATTTAACGTGGGGTCGTGCTCGTTTCCGAAGCTTCAACAGGTCGTGCTCGTTTTTGAAGTTCCAACAGCGTGAAGAGGGAAACGAGGCTTCATTGTACTTAAAATGACACGTATAGTCTCATTCACCGCTAATCGATGACGAACACTAGCCGCTCGACGAAAAGAAATAGGCGAAAAAGTTTTACAATACGCAATTCTCCATCGACGCGGTGTGCTGTTATTACGAGTGGACTTATTAATAGATAAAGTTTAAGGTTAATCGCAAGTGACTGCTACGAATGTTAATATGAATTCTCCTTACTTGCAGAAATAACGCGTATCTCGTACTGATCCTCAGAATTAATTTTTATATCGTATCGTGTAAGACTTAGTATATTTACGTTACACTTTTACATTAGAACTGATACATGTGCATGAGTGGAACGAGAGAAAATAGTGCGTTCACTGTACGTTGCGCGAAAGACGAATATGTATTGCAAGATTCTGGATTATATATGCCGCATTCTCGTTATATTTTGACGAGTTGTTGGACAATCGATATTTTGTACGAGGCATTCTTTTTTTTTTTCTTTTTTACTTTTTAAACGTAAATGTTTCTAACGTGATTGTGACATTTTGTGATTTGGCAAAATTACAATAAAAATTAAATAATAAATTGTGCTGGAATATCACAATATACATGTTACATTACGTAAATGGCTCGACACTTTGTCAACCGGTCCGTTGGGTAATTGGAAATCATTTCTTTTTTAGTACTGATATGTTCTGATTATTATACAAAAGATTGCTTGAAAAAGCTTTTAAAAATTTTGTTAACATTTTCAAAATAAAAGGACGGTTTACACGAGCCAGATTTATTTAATGCTTATTTTATTATACCTTTTAAGTATCTAATGTTTTAATAAAAACATTTTCTTCCCGTGTACATACATAAACCGACACGGACAATTGGCAGTGGTATGTGCGTCGTTCCGCGTGTTATAAACAATTTTAGGTATATTATACGCCGATAAAGTCGACGAAGTATTAAGCACATCTTTCAATTGTTTATTCATTGAGATCATTGAGATAAGAGCTAGAGAGAGCAAGAAAAAAAACTACTATTTCTATTTTGTTAATATTCTTTTCTTTTAACATTATACGTAATATTAACGAAATGCTATGTGACTGACTTCAAAACTCGCCGGCAAGAGAAACCTGAGTAACTTTGTAAAGTCGCGCGTTTATGGCTGCCAGGTTCAAGAGACGTTCTCCCCGCGACCAGTCGCTTGTGTATGTTCTGCTTCAATACGGCTTGAACACTTTTTTCCGATGCAGCCGATGGTCGGGATAAGAGAATCTCTGGGAACTAATCATAAATCAAATTTTCCCATTAGGACCATTGGCTGCGTTCCGAACTGCATTGAAAAAAGCGTTTAAACCGTATTGAAATCAAACTTACACACATACCCACACCTGCGCGCACGCGCGCGAGAACTCGTATATATATATACACTAGTATCTTTTTTAACAGTAACTGTGTGCATTCCAATAGTAAAAAGAGGTTGCAATGCAGCAATACTTCTTGATTAAGCGTTGCAGACGCGCATTGCAGTTTAATAAATCGACGGTCTATAACAAGAATTCGTATACGATTGCTGATCTGTGTTCTTGAGTTTGGCAATCATCGAGTTACAAGGTTTCCGGATTATTTTTTATACATTATATAAATATATATATATATACATACGAAAAGATTATATATATATATAGAGAGAGAGAGAGAGAGAGAAAGTGAACTATAAGAGTGTTTAATGTAGTGAATTGTGAAAGGACAATTCTTCTTAACCAGAATATAGAAAGATTAGCATGGGAATAAGGGAACGGATGGAAAGATATAGATAACATCACTCTTCTATTTAATTTATATAGTATTTTAATAATTGCGCGTATGTGTGAGCGAAAGAGAGAGAGAGAGAAAGGAAAACAGATGTACGACAACACGTGTGTATGCGTATTCGACGTCGTTTGTGTGTTAACAGACGAACACGTATGTGTCGTGATCGCGTGTGTATTGTTATATTTGATATACGTTCCAAGCGCAAGTACGTATATACATATATATCCTTTATACGTGTATATTTCTCGCGAGAATTCTCGTTGCAAGTTTGTCCGTAATGTTGTTCCGCCAATAGGGTTTTATTATTGTAAGCACATCCGGAGTATTCCAGACATCGCGACCGTGCGGATGGATATATAGACCGGGCGAAAAACCGACGCATGAAGATCGAGTGCCATAGCGCGCCTCGGACGTTAATTCTCGCTCCTTTTATTTCGTAAATAACAATAACAATAATAATTCCTAACGATTATTCCTACCGACAAAGGATCAGCACACATTCACGCGATTCGCAAGTAATTCCAGGACGACAAACGGTGTTAATACACACATACACACACTCGAAACAATGCAATCAAATGTTTTGTCATCGCGGAATTATTTGCGCTTGTCCCACGTCAGCGACCACTTCATTAAATCGTCACCATTCTCGCCGTAACGTCTTCAATGCGATTAATAAGTATTTATATGTGTGTATATACACACGATGCTTTTATTTTTAAGGTCATCGTATATAGATCAGTATAATAGCCTTAATATGAAGCATGATCAGGTTATTCATATTTTCTAACCGTATACACATTTGTTTTTATTAATACAAAGTTATTACAATCACATGTTATCGGTTTCGCTCTCTTTTGAATAGTCAATAAATAATAAACTATCATGCGTACGGTTAGTAAATTCTAAAAGCTTAAAAAGCCTAGTTGCATGACATATAGTAAGACTATTATGCTGGTTTGTGTACACTTGGTTTCAGTACGGTTTGAATACTTACCTCGATGCAGTTTGGAACACAGCCAAACAAAAGAACCTAACTTTTGGGATTTAATAAAAAAAAAAAAATTTTTTTTTTATTGGACCATCGATTGCGCGTTTTAAACTGCATCGAAAAAAAGGTGTCTAAGCTGTAACGAAACTTAAATATAATAAAGTTACGATGATGTATGTATTGTCTGCAATTGGTTACGTTGAGGTGCATTATAGATCGAAACGTTCCTCGGTTACTCGTGCTTCTTGAAACTCGCCATTTTTTATAACGCGTCGTCGACGAAGAATTGACGATTGTTGTGTATAACGTTTCGATACTTATTGTGAACACATAGTGATAAGACGAACGATTTTAATATTCATCAATAATCATGTTCAAGATCATGTTAATAAGTCATCAGTGAATGATATCGATAAAACTCCTCGATTATATATAAAAAAAAGAAAGCTGTATATAAGTAACCGGGGATTGTTTAGATCACGTTCCTGTGTGCGTAAACTATGAAATTCGATCTTAATATTAAATATCTTACGCGTAAGAGTAATCGTTATGAAATTCGTAGGGATGAGATCAAATACGTTTTAAGCAGCTTGTTCTTTCTCTCTCAGCTTCTGTGAGCACTTCCAACTGTAGCAGCATCTAAAATATAATCAAAATTTTCTGGAAAGTGTTTGAGCTTTTTTATGAATATTTCGAAACATTACAACATCCAATAGGAATATATCAATATATATCTCCCTGTGTATGTATTTGATATGTGATTGTGATTTGTACTGTTTTCGATGCTGTTATATTTGTAAGTAAAAGGACAAAATCCGACTTTCTCGAGTATGCATATTTTATGAAATTTTGCGTGGTGTTGCGTATCAATATCATTTGGTATGTATTTGATTCTACCCTCGATTGCAGCGCATTATTTTCGAGTGAATTACGTGAATGGATACTCGAGCGTCGGATGAACTGAGATGCGTGAGAACACACATTGAACTTGGTCTTATCCCTAAGAACGCCATGACACGGTCGTTACGACGGATACTAGAACTAACATTAGCGTTAATTCTCTTTCGGTTCGTCGTATTGTACTGCTAATCAGTCGTTGGAACAAAACTCAACGTACCGCGCAGTCTTAATACATATCGCGAAGATTAATGCAGATATATAACATTGCAAATACATAATAAGAAAGACAGCTTAGGCGGAAGCGTGTGATCTCAAGGATTAAGGAGCGGATTCTTGGTTGGACGTTCCTCCGTGTGAATGTCTATCCACGAACTACTTAGACGCTTGCCACTGAACAACGATTAGGGCAGAAAAAAATGAATACAATAACAGAGACCCTTATAATTTAGCTAGAAACAAGTACTATTATTCCTATTGAAATTTAATTTTCGCGCATCGTCTTACAAACTATTCATTTTCTTTTCTATTAAGATACTTTTGGCAAGCGTTGCGAAAAGACATTATGTCAATACAAAGCCTGTATGATAAAGTTGGTATATGTGCAGGATATTTTAGAATTATAGGCGAAGATTTAACTGGCTGATGGAACTTGTAAAAACGAACAAAAAGATACTTATACGCAAACATAGTTCAATAGATAAAATAATCATCTTCGAAATATTTAGTTTCTTGTTTTACTACATTCTTTACACTTACGATTACGCGTATTGTTGTATTTATTAAGATTTTTTGTTCTCTCGTAAATTATATTTACTCCCCAGTTGTCTTGACTTATATTTTTCACATATCCTGTGTATAAAGATTAATTAATGTAAAATAAGTGTAATAGAGGTTAATATCCCCGTCAATTGGGCGTATGTACAACAGCTAACAGTAATATCACTCGACTTTCTTTTATTAACTTCGTTAATAAGTGTAGCTCTTACATAGAAACATAAGGATTTTATAAATTTCTGCGCGAGATTTTTTTCTTTTTAATTTACTCATTCGTTGGAAGAAACTGCTCTTGCCCGCGTTAACTCTAAATTCGTGCAATCATCGATACTCACTTTGTGACGCTATAAAAAAAAGTTTACATAATCGTCATTCCTCGTTAACTTCATACACTTGTAAAAGTTTACATAATCGTCATTTCTCTAGTGTCCATGGGAGAGACGAATCGCTACTCTCATTTCCGTCGCGATAGGTCGTAAAGTGTAAGAAGTTCGTAAACGCTATTAATAAATGTTTATTGAACACTGCCTTTAAGTGATAGAGAGAGATCAATTCTTCGACGCGCGATCTTAACAATTAAATCTTAACCGGATCTTGACGTATTACTCCGCACTCGAATGAAAGAAAAAAAAGATAACAAGAAGGAAACGTACTATAAAGAGACGCAAGTATAACTAGAGAGAGATACGAAAATATACATATTATATACACACGCATAAGTATATGCGCGTGCGTATACGCAGGCTTGTACATTATCTAGGAAAGTAAGACTTCTATTGCGTACCATTTAATATGTGATAATCGACGGCAACGCATATGAGCGCACCATTATCCTTTACCTTCGATCCACCTTTAGCTCGACAACGTTAAGTGTAATTTCTTTTTTGTAGCAATAAAGTGAAATTCGAATATACACGCTACACTTCCTGCCTTAGTCGCTTTGTTCGCTCAATACGGTACAACGAAGTTGTACAGGCGAATTCCTGCTAAACTATTTCGAACACTAACACCGGGAATGCAGCACTAAATTAGACATTAATCGGTTCTCTTGATTCTAATATAATTCTGCTCACTATTTTTGCAAGCGCGATTTAATTTTTATATAGATAATCAGCGGCAAAAAATCGATGTGCATTTAAATTTGACAAATTCCAGAAAAAGATTTTCCCACTATTCCGAAATATATCGAAAAGATACAATTCTTATTTGTCTCTTAGAGACAATGAAAATGAAAAAAATAGTGCTACATTTGCGAACGACAGCGAGCATTAAGTTCTACAATGCGAAAGTTCGCCTCTAAATAACCGAAAAAGTCTGTCATAAATTTCGCTTGAATTCGTAAAGTGCGAACTTGAACTTTCTAAATATATATAATGATAAAAAAAAATATATACAAGATGTTCCAGACTCTCTTCCGCAATTTTTGTGGAAACATACTCTTTTAAAATGAATCGGTGAAACATCACTGAAAACAGTGAATATACATTGATTTGCAATTATAAGTGTTGCACTGAAAGTGCTCAGTGCTATACTTATAACTGATATCAATGACTATTCACTGACTCACTTTAAGAGAGTACTCTCTTAAAGTGAATCAGTGAAACATCATCGAAAGCAGTGAATATACACTGATTTGCAGTTATAAATATAGCACTGAAACTGCTCAGTGCTATAATTATAACAGATATCAGTGACTATTCACTGATTCACTTTAAGAGAGTAGAACGGATTGAGGTAAACATAAAAGTTCCACTGTTTTGTGATATTTGCAATAATAGTCGAGATATTATCTCTCAAAAATTGTGGAGGAAAGTCCAGGACACCCTGTATACATGTGATATGCGTTACATAAAGCGTGGGAGTATTGTACGTGCGACGATTTTTAGTCCCACCTAGGTGAGTGTGGTTTTTCATCGGAGTTTGTCATTCACTTTGGCATCCTCTTAATATACCAAGTTAGATATGTAATATTGCCAATTGGCAAAAGTAATCGGTGAGGCTTCGCGTCCTGCTGAGTCCTTCGTTAGGTGGAAGCCTTTCGGTCCCACGCATCAATTTAATTTAGCGATATATGTCGTATGTGTGACGCAACAAACGCGAAGTTCATCCCTCTGGACGTAATTGTCTCGGTGATATGCGTGATAAAAATTTTAAATTTATTTCTTTATCTCTATCACTTTCGTAAATAAATCGATGTATTGCTTTCTTCATTTTTTTCATAACGTTAAAACATGAAATGTCATGTGTTCAATTGCAAATGTTTTCTTTTTCCGTCGTTTGTACAGGTGCAAATAAGTTGTTATTTTGAACACTTTTATCGCAATAAGATATCCGATATTTATTTTGCCTTCATCAACGACGTATCATCGTTGCTTATCTTCACGAAACTTAGTCGATTTTATTTAGGTACGTTTGTTTGCGTGCAATTTCAATCACGTGACATAAAAGACTATATAAGTATTGCGTTTACTACATAAGTTTGCGTTTCACACTAAAGTAAACGTGTTATTCGCATCAGTGAGACGGAAATTCCGATTCAAACTAATTTGAAAAGGAATATTGATATCTCTTTTTCTGTTCATTCACTTTCGATTAACTGTAATCAATCGTGCAATTTGTCATTTCACTGACGCAACATGCTTGATGTACAATTACGGTACATGCTGCGCAAAAAACGACTTCGGGAGATGATAAGGTCGCAATTCGAAATCATAGAGACACAGACCGATCGCGGCATTCTCGATCGGCCTCAATTTCTTGTCTCTACTGAGTGACTCTGGGGTGAATCTGTACTGGGGGTGAAACACGAGCAACAATCCACCTACGAACGGCTTACGAGACGAGAAATTTTTAACGTCGGCGCACTACGTTCGTCATCCCTTTAGGATAACGATTGCATTCTATCGGGATGTTGTAATGCGCGCGCGTTGAAAAGCGAGGGCTCGGTAATATATAAAAACAGCGACCACGTCTTAGAGCTGTCCTGAACGAGATCCCCCGTGCATCGGCGCTGTATTCTGCGTGCTACGATAAACCATTCCGCGCTAATTAACGCGAAAGTGTGTTATCATGTGAGTCTCTTCCTTCGTTCACTTGAATATTCCGTTCCAAACAATATCTTAGGCTCAGTTTCACAACCTCCGTTTAACTTTAACTACCGGTTAAGTCTCAACAGTGATTGGTTAATTCTGATTGACTCTTCTTAACGCTAAATGCGATTGGTCAAGTCCAATGGAATAACCGGTCAGTTAAGTTAACTAGAGGTTGTGGAACTGGGCTTTAGAGCGTTAAGATAGCTAAACTCGTTCGCGATATCGCGATAAACAGCGCAATTTTTTCTTAAACGACTTCGACGCGCGGAACAGGCACAAGTGCTCGAAACTCGAAACATATTGTCGAAACTGTGCGATCGCTTTTATTCGAGTCGGCCGTCGAGTTTCCGCTACGTGCGGAACTTCGCGAATCGATTGGAAAATTCGTCGAAGAATTCTCACGAGGGCTGCACGCGTCGTTCTTCTATATATGGACAGGATATTCAATAAATACTTGGATCTGGGTCCCGTGTATAAAATCCTCTGTGCACGGAAAAAAATTTGGCTGTATTAAAGTGCAATTTGTGGTTTTAATGAACGAACCAACGCGTTTTGTTTGAAGGATTTTCACAGAATTTCTGCGATTCTCACGACCCAGATTCTGGCTCCAAGAACTCGAAATTCCATTTTCCTTCATCAAAACGCGTTAATCCGTTCAGTACAATCAAACTTCGTGTTAGCACAACCAAACTCTTTTTCCTCTATGCAGTCCTCATTAGCGCGAGCAAATTTTCATTTACGTCACGTTACGCTCTTCTGACTCTTGTTATTTGTGAAATGTGGTTTAATTTCGCGGATATTTTCCACGTGCGCGCGTTATCTCGCGCGTATTCATTACGCACGGTGCAGTGATGTTCTATGTACGCAATGTCGGAGATACTTGTATAAACATTCGAAAACACACTCTGTTATCACGCTGGAAACACAACGCATCGCAATGCGCTCGTCAATCAGTATTTACACAGCTAACGTTTTTACACCCCGACGAGCCTTTTCTACTCGTGACAACTTGTTTATTTCATCTTTATCACTTACGACAGTTTCTCTTCTTTAAGGTTCCGCAAGGCGCCAGTGAGCTTACTCGCCGTAGCGTTCCTGTTTTGTTTGATCCTCGTGTCGAATGCCGAAGCTCAATTAAATTTCTCCACCGAGTGGGGTAAAAGGAGCCAAAATGCACGAATGAAATCGGACTGTCCGTCGCGAAGCACATCGTCGTTGGAACAACTGTTAAAATTGTACACGTTTATTCAGGTACATGACGCACGACACGCCAAAATGGGATATTTCAATAGAACGTCTCCTGGTCGGATTCACGATCGAGGTTCAACGCGCGTCATTTTATTGTCATTTGCAGGTCGAAGCGCAGAGGATCTTGGATTGTCAGAACTTGAACAAATGAAACTAAGCAGACCGTCGCGATCTCTCATCGAACGGAGCCCTGCCGGAACCAGACGAGACTACAGAAAATGACATTATTTGAATAAACGTTATATAACACAACGATGTGTCCTTTAATTTCCTTTCACCGATCGTGCGACAGAGCGCACGCGACAATGTCGCAAATGTCCTGTATTCTATGAACTCGAAGCATTTTTCCATTCCTCCGTTAAAAAAGAAGGCGCGTTAATTTCCATCTGTTTGCGGTATGTTGTTTACATAATACTTAATTGCATCATGAACCAATATTGAGACAAGTGGCATTGAAGCTGTCCGGCCAAACGTTTACTGTCACAGATTGTCTATAAGTACTGCATTATAGGGCGAAAATGTAGTCTTGAAAATAAAGGAATAAACGTTTCTTGCAATTCGAGAGTAAATTGATAATAAAGGTACCAACGATTAACATCTGCAATGCCTCCTGCTGCTCCTTTTCTTCATTCTTTGAAGATAAAGATAAAAGCTGCTATTAGAAGACTAGTTGTTTTCCATGTATCGTTAGTATTTCTCTTGTCGTGTCCCGATTTGTTCTATGTCGTTTTATAATATTAAAATTATGTGTTAAAAGATGTAACGGCCAGAGTCACATATTCAGCGGTCTCATACTCGAGTCTTAATTTTGGCGACTGAATACATACAGATTCCGCTTTCGAGTGCGCTCAATCAGAAAAAACTGAACAAAATTTGTTGTTGATTCACCGACATTATGTATGTGCTTCGTGTCAACGACCACATACACACACACACACACACACACACACACACACACACACACACACACACACACACACACACACACACACACACACACACACACACATGT